TTAGACTAAAATTATTAGGCTTCGACTATAACACAGCTGACAGTGGCGTAGCGTGGGTGTCAGCCGACCGAGGCGGAGAAAAATTTCGCCGCCCCCTTATTTAGGTATCTCAATTAAAAAGACTAAAATTCAGTTTCGTCACAGAATAAGCAATAAAAAAATCCGTGCTCATTTCAATCGGTCCGAATCGTAGCTGCGGCAAAAATATGAAATGAAATGGTTCAAATTTTTACAAGCTATTATTATTTATTGTGAAATTTTGCCGTCCCCACTACGCTACGCCACTGCTAACTGATCCTACTTTCACATAAACATATTCGGATTTCACAGCCTTTCACATAAATGTAAATGTCATACAGAAAGCATATAGAGCGATAATAAATAGAAACTCATTTTTTACGAAAAAATCAGAAAAAATAACCATTCGAAAAATGAAAGATAAGAACGTTCAACATAGTCATCATCTTGTTCTACTGACTTGTATTATGTGAATAAACAACCTCTAGGCATCTCACCCTGTTTTACTTTATATATTTTTTCAATACATGAAACTAATATATAGTATTTGGCAACAAAAGAAAAAATCAAATTAGAACTCAATTTCTCAATTAAGCCGGATAGTTAAAAATTGTGTTTTAGAATTATTGAATGTATAATATATTCTTCTCTAAGCAAATTTTGTTATCGGTTATATAAAAAAAAATATTACAAGTATGTCTCTAGACTTGACGATAATTTTAACGGATAACGAATATGAGAAACGTATAATCGAAACCTGAAACGTTATTAGGTTAAATGATACAGCCCAAGCTTTCGTCTAAACTTTTTATTTCGTTTATTATTATTAACTACATGTTTATTAATTTCTTTCCTAGTTATGAAATTTGAATAAAGAATGTTTAAATGCTATATTAGATGTCTAATATAAATTTATTTAGGATTAGTATTAAAAAAATTCATTTCGCCCTGTGGGCACTGAGAGGACTTTTTTTTAATCCAAACAAATTGTGGGTTCGGCCATGCCCATAGTGGGGCAGACGAGTGGCCAACATATCTGAGAGGACGTTTCGTATGACGTTATGGTTAGTTCTTCGTATATGTTTTCTAACTCATAAATAATAATATACAATACAGTTTTGTAATTAGCTATTACAGGATACAATCCCCAGAAATTTTGAAAAATGTAAAGATATTAAAATGGCCCTAAAAAATAACAAAGTATATCGTGATATTATATTACAGCGTCTAGTCAGTTGTTCTCTGTTCTGCAAATAAAGCTGTTTTACGGTCAAGCTCCATGTTCCTGTGCATGTGTAGCAGAGTCCAAAGATTTTATGTTCTCTCATATGACTTCTTAGCCAAGTTTTTTAAGTGTCAGATATTAGAATGTAGAAGATAAGAGAAATCAAATTCTAATTTGAATAGTATAGATTTACTACATCTTAGGTGATTAATTTTTATATTTATTTTTGTATTTGTAATAGGATATCATGTGTTACATTCTTTTCAATAATTATAAACTAGAAAATTTGTTTACTTCATTTTACCATTTGAAAACAGAATGTAATAATTATGTATAAAAGAAATATAATACATTTAAAGTTATACAGTAGAGTATCAAAAACTCTGCACTCGATAACCCGGTAGTCTGGATAACTCGGCCACATCCTGGCAGGGCAAAACAAGCCTTAGTTAATTAATTTTTATTATAGACAGCTTTATGCCTCATAAAGCTACTTTATGCCCCATTCCCGATAACCCAGCATTTTCACAAACTCGGCCACCCTTCGGTCCACATTAGGCCAAGTTTTCGAGACTCTACTGTATCATGATTTTGATTTGTTTTGTTTTGTTATTGATAAATCAGTCTCCACTGTTTATAAATTACTTTAGCACATGTATAGTCTAGGATGAGACTAGAACAATTACATCTCACATCCCAAATCTGCATTGGCACATTCATATCTCATTAGACTCAACAGATTTTATTGGCAGAACCCTAGGGTTCCACAGAACACAAGTTGGGAGCCCTTGCATGTACACTAAGCTACTGTATATTAAATATATGTTTAGTAAATCTTTGCCTATATATTTATATATACTTATGTTTGTATATATTAATTTATATACTTAAATTAGTAAAAAATCTTATATATGCATGCATACATGTATATGTAAGTGTAAGTTTAAATTAGTATAGCTGTATCTCTGTTGATGTAGCAATATATAATATGTAACATGAGTCTTAACACAATTAAGCTGCAGTTAAGTTTTAGCTAATACATTACTAAAATAAGTGATTAATATTATAATTATTTTATTTTTATGAAGTTTTGTTTTTTCTAAGTGAAAAATTTAATTTTATTTAAAACATAACATTTATGATGGGTATGGTTAATTATACATGACAAAGTAAGCAAACATTATTTTAAAACAAATTTTGTCTCTTGTTTGTTTATATTATATAATTAAGTTTAAAACTATTGAAATAGTTAATATTTGGGTAAAATAATTCTGTACAATTTATTGTAGTATTATAAAAAATTATTATGTAATAAATATCTTTAAAATTGAAAAAATATGCTTATAAAAAACTCTGCATTAATAAATTTTGCATTATAACTGAAAACTCTAAAAATTAGCAAAGAAAAAAACTTCCCAATTACTTGGCAAATAATCAATTCATATTTAAAGAAACCTCCTGTAATGGTCAGTTAGATAGACTTGAATAAGTAATTTCAGGATGGTGGGCAAGAACATTTTCGGTTAGGGTGATGCCTACCCTTGCTCTGTCTTCATTTCATCCATGCCTAATCCACATGATTTCAGTCTACCATTTTCTTATGATTGGAAATGTTTGTCTTTTCCCAAATACCTTAACTGTTTATTTTAACCTTGCTAGATATTTGTTTAGAGATTTCTAAATGAAGTAAGGTATACTAAATGATAATGCAGTAGTTGTTGTATTGTCATATCATAGGCATATTCAATCATACTGTATAACTTATGTGAAAAGTTCTTTAGTGTATTTTTAAAATTGAAATTGTTTTGCAAACCAAACAGTTTGAGAATTGCAACAGAACATTATAATTCCATTTTAAAATTTCATTAAATCTTCAGCAGTTTTAAAATTTATCTGTATTTTTACTATTCTTCTATCAATAATTAAACAATTATTCCTATTGGTAGATTTAATTTTATTCTCTGGAATAGAATAGTATGTTATTAATAAGTTAGTTGTTCAGATGTTTATCAAAACTTCTAATGAGGACATTAATTCAAAATTTTGTTCATACTATATGTTCTAAGTTTTTCTCTTACGAAATTTTCATATTTTAAATGATCTAATAAATCTATCAATTATATATGCTGCTTAAAGTAATGTTTAGGATAGTGATTCTCAACAATTTTGAGCTATGGCACACACAACTTTTGGTGACACATTGACAAGATATATAGCTATATATAAATAAAAATGACATTTGAAGATTTGCATTTTCTTATATCAAAACTACACAAATAATAATAAAAAGTGGAGAAACAGTTAGCATTTTTAAGGAATAAATTATTTCTTTATGATTTAAATTTCTACAATTCAATAAGATTCATAATTTGAAGAATACATGTTGATTAAATTAAAAATAAATTTTTAAAAATTTATTGCTTCTAAATCAGTAATTCTCAACTGGTTTGTTCTCTCACAGAAATGCCACAAAATTTAAAAAATATAATTTAAAAGTTGATAAACATCTAAAAGGATATAATAAATAAAAAACTATTTATACTTAAGACATAACTACTTTAATGAATTGATTTGAATTTCTGGTATTCAAATGAATTCTTAAAGAAAAAATAATCAAGAGCCAAAAAGATAATTTAAAATGTATTTTAAAAGTTTTATATTTTGACAAAAATAATCTAATAAACATATTAATAACACATTGCTATCTTTAAAATATATACTGCTTATGGTTGTATTGAAGATAATAACACTAAACAAAATTAGATAGAAGTTAGTTTTAATTAATAACATATTTTCTCATTAGTTAAAGTTTGAAGTCTATATAAAGTTCTTTTTAACTTTTTTATAAACTTTTAGAGTAAGAAAGCATATATATTTTGCAAGAAAATGAAGTACAAAATGTAACAAGTTTACATATTTTTATTTTGTTAATATATAATTTTAGTATTCCTAGGAAATTAAATTTTACTTTGATTTTGTTTTACTTAAATTATAAATGCCTAGTTTTATTCTTTCTGAAATTGACAGATGCATGAAAAACACTAATATTAATGATCCCTAAAGTTATAAAGTTTTTTAATGCTTGATTGCAAATCCTTGCTTCATTATTTATAGTATATTTATTGTTAGATGAAAATTATAATGGCTAACATATAAAAGATTCAATAAATACATAATCTTTTAGATTTAAAACAAAAGAGATAATGTGTTTTCTAAGTATTTAAATAAATATAAAAAATAAAAAACTTTTTTTTTACAATAGTTATAGAATTTAGAAATCAATAAGAAGCTTGTAGATTAAAATAATAATTAATATATCAAAGAAGAATAAACTATTTCTATATAATTGAAAAATTGCAATTCAGATACCTTTAATGAACTATGAACAAATATAGATATAATAAGAAGTATGAATAATATATTGTAGTCACTAATTTCAAAGTAGATATATCATATTTTAGCTAACACAAAAAAAATATCTCAATATACAATATTAGTTTTAGAACTAAACTTAAATTTGTTTCTTAATATTTTTAACTGTACTGTACATTCTAAGTGATTATTGGAATTTCTTGTTTGATATGCGTTTTTTTTTTTTTGTTTTGTTTTTCTTAAAGTTCATTTTTCATTTTATTTTATAATAAAAATTAAATTTAAAATTTCAAATATGCTAATTTTAAAACAGTATCCTGAATCTATCTTGGTAATATTTCTGTTTAGAATTTGTTTGTTAAAATTTTATTTGATTACTTTACAGACGTAAAGTCCTTCAAATATCTCAAGGTGTTGATGAGGCTGGAGATATAAGATGGGAATTAGCTATAGCTTTATTAATTGCTTGGGTTCTCTGCTATTTTTGTATATGGAAAGGTGTTCGTTGGACTGGAAAGGTAATTTTGAATGTTTGTTATATTTTTCTAATACTGTTTATTTTTATTGATTTTTAAAATTGCTACATTATATATTATATTAATTTTTAAATAATAATCATCAAATTATATTTTTATTTCATTTTATATCAATTTTAGGATATTTTATTAAAAATTTTTTGATTATCTTGCATTTAATACACTTTAATTCGAAAAATTATTTTCGTAAATTAATAAAATATGCAAATTTATTGTCACATAATTTTATTTATTGGTTTCCATTTTTAGATCATTAATTTTATCACTTTATTGAATAATCAGTAAATACAGTATATTTATCATTCAGATTACTTTCACTTCTTCCTTGAAATACAGTAGGAGACTTAGCTGAAAAGATGTGTCAAAATTTCTGAATACTTCCTAGTAGGACATATAGTACAGTACTTACAATAATAAAACAAATAAAGTACTATACAGTATTTCAAAGATAGTTATTTTCTATAAAATTTTTTATGATAATTTACAAATATGTGCTATTGTAACTATTCATGCAATAAACAACCTAAACAAATTTACACAAAGAAACACACAGTTTTTTTAGATATGATTACTCTCAGCTTTCTTTTCTATCAATTTCTCAATCTTATAAAATGTATTATAGTCAGTAAAATTTTCTTCTGAATATTTTTTCACTATGCTTAAATGCAGTGCTATAGCTACTTTGAACTGCCTAAGGCAGTCTGTCAATTGCTGCCTTTTCTTTGGGAAATACATAATACAGTAAACATCAAATCTATTTAGATAACATTTTTCAATGAGTCATATAATTTTTGTAATTGTTAACTCTCAGAATAGTTGATAATTTTATTCTTCTGATTAATAAAACAATGTTTAAAATTTTTTTAATGCCAAAAATTCTGCCCAGAAAAAGTGCTGTCAGGGCACAGTGGAGGGCTCTGCCCACTCCTAGCTATGCCACTTAAATGAAATAGTTCATACTTTATGAGAAGGCAGGTTTAGTTGATTTGTGAATATTTTCTGTTTCCCCTTTGTTTTGTTTGACTCTTTCATCTACCTCCATGCTTTTATGTATAACCAAATAAATAACCATAGGTTTTGATTTAGTTTTATGTATGTCAACAATAAAATAGAAATCATTGTAAAGAATGTGCATCAGCCTAAAACGTGTATTTGCACAATTGATTTAAAGATTGTAAAGCATATACAGTAGTTTTTCAACCAGTGTGCTGCAAGAGGATTGTAGGTGGGCCAAAAAAATTTTTGAAAGCTATTAAATAAATTCTTTTCAAAAGAAACCCAAAGAACAATAAATTTACATGTTGAAATTAAAACCTCTTTAAATTAATTATACGAGTTTTTCATTGTTATAATAAATAAACATATATTTTTTACTACATTATGTATATATCTTCACAAGCAAAATTATATGTGCATAACACCAGGTTATTTCATTTAAAATGAAATTTTCTTTAAATCAAAAATGTATCTATAATTATCCATATTTAGTTCAAATTATTTTAACTTACAAAATAGGAAGACATTGGAAATTATCATTCCACTTTTAAATGCAAATTAAGACTTAATTGCTTTTCTTATGTAAATGAAAATTATTAATTTAAATAACTATTGTTGTAACCTGCTGTTATTTTAAGGAACAACAATACTATTTAATTCACAAAGAATATAGACAAAAAGAATTAGGTTAAGTGGCATGTAATATGGCGATAGCATGTTAACAAACACAACTTTAAGTCACGTGATTTTTTTTCTGCAGAAATTTATTTATAGGTTTAAGTGTGCCATGAGAAAAAAAGATTGAAAAACACTCACATGGGAGAAAAAAGTGGATATGAAAAGTCTAGTGTGTAATATCAATACTTTTTGATTTGTTTTAAATACATCATGAATTGTTAATAACACAGGTCTGCAAGTAAAAAACTGCATAGGATTTTTATACATTTTCTTATAGATTTCAACTTGGAGAAAACAAAAAAAATACCAAAAAATTCCATCTCGTCAATTTTTTTTGTTACACAAGTTTTTGTGTTTAGCGTAAAATTCCTAGTTAACTTAAAATTTTTTTTATTTAAAAAATGGCCTTAAAATGAAGACTTCTTACATTAATTCTATCAATTTTAGCTGGACTTGGCAATAAATAAATAAAAATGTTAATGGTTGAAGAGAGCAGTGGTGGGGGGAGGTGGGTTAAGTAGTTTTAGCATTAGGACTAAGGTTGCATGATTGTGTAGAAACAGGTTAAAAGTTGATAGTGAGGTTGAGCTTGTTTTGACAAGCTAAATAAGTTCAGTATCTCGCTGGCCATCTAATGCCACACTCAGTTTATATTCAGCATTCAAACACTACTATGCTTGTATTTTTATTTCTGGAATATGGCTCGCAGAGGTTGTGTAATTTCTCTCGACAGCTTCTGTATGTTTGTGGTAAATACACAGTGAAAAGTTAATATCCTCTTTATCTGATCCCTTCTTTTTGGAAACAATGGGAGAAAAGGAAAAAAGCATGGGCCTCTTTTAAGAATGCAGTGCATAAGTTTTTGGGGAATAGTAAGGACCCTGACTACAAAACCATCGTACAATTCATGTTGGCAGTGTATGAAGCTTCAAGGATGCAAGATGAGCTTAAAAGTTCATTTCTTACACTCCTGTATTGACTATTTTCCTGAAAACTTGGGAGCCTACAGTGAAGAACTCTCAATATCACGGACATCCTGGTGAAAGATTTCACCAGGATGTCCGTGATATTGAGAGATGTTACCAAGGAAAATGGGATGTCGATATGTTAGCTGACTACTGTTGGATGCTCAGTCAAGAAACCAGAGAAGGAAATTGGAAACGAGTTCAGAGAAGCATCAAAGAGAAGAAGAAAAGGTGTCATAAGAAAATATATTTAGTTCATTGTAATAAATAAGCGTTTTTATCAAATATTTGTTTTTATTTTGCAAAAAACCTATACGTGATGGGATGTTACGGAAGTCATTTTTAGAATCTCCAATCTTTAAAACATATAATTCAGCAAAAATATCCCATGCAGCTGGAAAAAAAATTTTTTTTGCAGACCTGTGTAATTTAGTCAAACTGAAATATATTCAAAGTTTTAGAGTTTTTTTGCACATCTAGAGGTCAAGGTTTAATTTAAAACCTTATTTGCTAAGTTTGATCAATTGGATATGGAAGGTAGCTATAATTAGTAATTTATAGACTGCATACAGGTGATTTCTCCTATAGCTCTTACCTATCTCTGAATTCAAATTTGTTGAAATTGGATTGTGCTAATGACATGATCTTTATGTACCTTACTGTATGCATTTTCAAATATTTTTGGGGGAGTTTTTGTAATTTATTTTCTCTTTCATATTTCAATCTCATTAAAATAAAGTTTTTATCTTTCTTTATTTATTGTTGATTATTCCCACATTAGTAATTAAAAATCACATACTTTTTTAGGTGTCAAGAATATTTCATTTATTTAGTTTAATAATTTTAAAGACCAAAAGAAAGTTATATAATTTATTTCATGCATTCTCTGAGTTTTATTCTTTTCAATCTATTATTCTAATTTTCCTCTGATCTCGCCTACCATTGTTCTTCCATTTTAGACAAACTTTATTGTAAGTATTCTTTTCCTTGAATTTCCTCTGATTTAATATAGTGCATTCTAAAATTCATCTTTTCATCAAATCTGTACAAATATAATGAATAAAATATAAATTTATTAAATATTGTTTTTCTTGTTAATAATTTACTTTATTTTTAGCATATTATAATATTTTACTATTTTATCAGCTTATGTTTTTCAAGAAAGATATATTTGAAATTATGTTGATTTAAAGAAAATAATGACAAATAATTTTATGATATATGTAATTTAAATGTATTTATTGATTATTTTTAGGATTGTTATTTTCATAACTACAACAACAAACATTAACCAAATATTTCATAAATGTATTATTTATTTTAGGTTGTATATTTTACTGCTACTTTCCCTTATGTGATGTTGAGTATATTATTAGTTCGTGGATTAACTTTGCCTGGAGCTAAAGAAGGAATAATATTTTATTTAAAACCAGATTTTTCTCGCCTTACTGATGGGCAGGTAAGATTTATTTTAAAATCTACTTGTATATAAATAAGATAAGTTATTAATGATTGCAATATTCTTGGATGTTAGTAAAGGAGATAAAAGTTTGTAAACATATTTATAAACTTATTTATAGTCAGTTCAATAATAATGATAGAAAATTTAAAAAGTTAATACATTTTAATAATTAATTGAATATAGAATTTATCAGCAATACAACAATAAATAAATTTAAATAATGAAAAATTTTATTTTTATTTATTAAAGTAATCATTGTTAATTAATGATGATTGACTTAATTTTAAAAATTGATCATTGATTTGGTGCATTTAGTCACTTTTCTTAAGTTAATTGTATGCAAAAATTATTTGGAAAAAATAAAGAAAGAAATTGAAATAATTTTTGTTGAAATGTTTAAGAAAAATCAGTATATGTTAAATATTATTACCTATTTTATGGTATTTTATACAGCTGTCTTAAAGTAATTAAATTTGAATTGTTTCATCATGTTTATTAATTTTTTTTATAGGTATGGATAGATGCTGGAACACAAATATTTTTCTCTTATGCCATTGCCTTGGGCTGTATGACTGCCTTGGGTAGCTATAATGATTATCACAACAACTTTTACAGGTAAGTTATTTTTATGCATTGGGTGAAATTAAAATCACCTAGCTTTCTTTTCTCACATTTATTTCTCAGGTGAAATCTTAACCACCTACTACCAAGTTGGTAGCAGTCGAAGCTGTCTGTGTATTCTGCAGGCAGTTGTGGTTTGAGGCTTTATAATGATTATTTAATTGCAGAATACAAATTATTAGCCTTATAAAATCTCAGGCTTCATTATGGTTCATTCCATGAAAATGTAAAAAATATTTAGATCTTCAAAAAAATAATAATGATAATGATATATAAATAAAATTATTTAATGAAAAATGAGATGAACACAGAAGCTAATTACAAAATTTACACCATGCAGGGTTTTCCTTATAAAACAGTTTTGTTAAGTTTGTATTTACTACAGATTTAAGAGAGTTAAAAGTATAAATATATAAATATATAACTTTATTTTTGATATTAATAAAATTGGTGGTGGGAAATAATTTTTATTTGGGATAGGGAAAACCCTGAAGGTTTTTAATGGAATGATAGGCTAAGTACCTTAAAATAAAATGTTTCACATATTGCACCCTTGTGAGCTTGTATCAAGAATGTTATTAAATAAAATAAAATGAAAAATAGTTTCAGAAAAATACTGAATATCATACATGGAATTTTTAATTGAAAAAAAAAAATTAAGCATAAAATTTGTGAAATAATCATAACATATGATTACAATATACTGTATGTATATATATTTATATATACAAACTTATATATTTTATAAAGAATATTATTTAATGTATTGAAAACTACATATATTCAGAAGAGATTTCTCAGAGGAAAAAAAATATATTAAAATATTACCAATACAAGTTTAATTATGAATCATTATTACATTGTATGAGTTCAAAATACTCCATAAAGATATTCAGTAATTGAAAGAAGTCAAACACACAGTATTAATATCAGTTAATATACAAATCAGTTATACTTTCATGGATTACAATATTTCATAATAAGTGGAAAAAGTATATTTTATATATATGTTTGAATAAATTTATATATGTGTTTATTAAATGTGTATTAAATTAAAAGTTTCTATGAATTTTATAAAAATCAACTAAAAATAAGAAAAAAATCAATTTTTATGCAGTAAAATAACAATCCAATGACATTCCTTCAAGAACACAAGGGATGCAAATTATGTGCAGTATATTTGTGATCTGTACCCCTTTTAGACCTGTCAATAGGGTTGACTAATGTAAAAAATTGGTTACAAATGTTATTGCTTTAGAAATATGCTATAAGTTGAATAAACCTGCATATTAAGTTAATCATTTATTTTTTTGAAATTAATTTCTTAGCATGAATTGTTTGAATGAAAAAAAAATCTGGTTTTGCATAAACTTGTGCTTAATTCATTTTTTTTCCTTTTCTTTTTCTTTATATATTCATTTTAATTAATACTAAAATGTAGTCTCTACAAGACTCAAAAGATCTTAATTATATGTAATAATAATTAAATATACATATGGAACAGAATATGAGAGCAAAAAGATCAGTTGATGATAGAATATGAATATTAATGCAAAAATAAGATTTTTCATTGCCAACTTAAAAGCTATATTTTATGTATATCTATATACATATAATGATTACATATATTTATGAATTGATGTTTTGATTTCTTTTATAATCTGTTATTTTATAAATCAATCTGGATGCTTTAAAATCAGTCATATTATCATTCATAAAGTGGAAATGCTGATGATTTTAACATATTTTTCACAAGTTAAATGAATGTTGGATATTCATTTCACTAAGGATAAAATAAAATTTATCAGAATTTTTAAAATAAAAAAAGTCTATAAAATGTAATAATTTTCAATGAATATATGAATAATTTTTCCATTTATATATTCTGTTATCAATATTAATATTAATATACAATTATCAATATACAAGTATGACTTGAATACATTTTAAAACTGAAATAAGAAGATTGCAGTTCTTTTAATCTGTTTAAATAAAATATGTTATCTTGATGCAAAATAAATGGTATAAGTTTAACAGATAAAGATATAATTGTTGAATTTCATCTCAAAGTTTTATTAAATAAAAAAATAATTATAATTCTTATGTGAATCCAAATATTGATAATGAATTGAATAAAGTTTTTAAAATGAATTTAAAGTTTTATGAATTACATATATATGTTCTAGCAAAATAATTAAACAGAATTATTTTTAAAAATTCTAAAATATTAAAAAAGTATACAAAAGCTAGAAAGAAATATTATAAATTATAAATTTAAAGTGAGATGCATATCTTTGTCAATAAGCTATAAAAATTTGTTTCACAATATAATTTTTTAAATAATATTTGCTTATATTTATAAATAGTAAACTCTTATATTAAATTCAGCATAAAGAGAAGTTCAGATTTTTGTTGCTATATAATTAATGAATTAAAATATGTTTCTAAAATTAGTCCATAAACTTGTTTAATGATTGAACATGCAAAAATGGATGTTAATAAGAAGAAAAAAATTTATCTAATTTGTATTCACTTAAAATATTTCATTGTATTTGATATTGCACTCATCTATAAAAATTGTTGAAACTTAATTTTGTTCAACAGTAAACTTTTAATTTATAAAATTTGAGAACTTAAATAGTAATAGCTATTTATGTTATTCACATTGCATTATTTTTTAATGCAAGAAATTTTACATATTAGATGTAAGAAGTGAATATTTCTTGAATTAATAGACTGTGATATAATACTAATAAACATTTTATTATTGGCATACAGTAGACTTCAAAAACTGTTCAGATTTCCTTTGTTGTTACAGTGGAATAATTATTCATCAATACAAGATCATCTAAATTTGTTGTATAAAGAAAAGATATGCCTGATATTATTAATGCATGGAGATGAACTGAATAAATTTGAAAGACATAATCACACTTTTATTTGTTGTTTTACATCATTGCAACAACTCACATAATTATCAAGTTAGTTTGAATAATTCCATGTGTTCTATGATGTAGTAGTTCTTTGATGTAATTTATGTTTCTTGCAATAAGTTAATATAGATGCTATTAGATGTTTTAGTTTTTGGAAATGAATGTATATGGAATGTATATGTAACTTGAAATGATTGGAGTGTTTCAGTTTAAACTCAATATAGCATCTAGGCAATTAAATGGAATATTAAATGAAAGTTAGAACTAAGAATCTGAAAATGACTTAAATCATTGTTGGTCAAAGATATAATGCATTGCCCAAAAACACAAAAGAAACTCATTTGACTCATTTGATAAAAAGTTTCACATAATGGTGGAAAATATTTTGCTGCTTTTCCTTATTAAATATTGAAAAGAATTGAAAGTCTAAGCAAGAATCAAATGTGTGTATGCATTGAACTTCTTACACTAAATTTCTATTGAAGAATGGAAGTAGACAAGCTAAAAGACTGTCAACTGCAATTAGTACAGTTTTGTCTTTTACATGAAAAGAATATTGTATAGATCCATAAATATTAGGGAATTTATGGTACAGCCTGACAAATTGTATTACATACTTTTCTATATGATTTAACCATAATAGTCAATGTTGGAACTACCACATTTTATAATTAAAATTAATTACTGAAAAAAGTATGTAAGATGACTTCAGTGTATGATTTAAAAAATACAGATTTGCTTTAACTTACAATGGTCTCTGTTTCAACAACCTGATCATAAATCCATTTGATTATGAGTCTTACTTAGTATATGAAAATGAAAACACAGCACCGGATGGTTAAAGGTCATGATTCAAATAATCTCTACAGAAGTATCATATGAGACATTTTTATGCTAAGGAAACTTTAATTAGAATGTACATTATGTTTAATAAAGTCATTTATTACAGCTATTATTAAGTGTATTATAGAGAACATGAAGTACAGTAATAAGACTGGCAGTTTAGTTGCTTTGTTTTCTTTCAACTATATCTGCCTTGCATTTGACTACTGTGAATGTTTTATAGGACAACTGTCAGAACTTTAAATAGTCATATGTTGAATGAATTTAAGTCAAGGTATATTTGTACCTGAAATATATGATTGCCAAGAATGAAGTTTTGAACAGGAGATAACATATAAAATTAATTTTTATGTAATAATCTGATTTGATAATTATGTCTTGGACTATGAATACCAATATCTAACTGAAAATTAATTAACTAAACTAAGTAATTCTTTGATATGACAATTTTTTTGTTTTGTAATAATTCATATATCCTTCAAAAATATAATGCTCCTTCTACAGCATAAAACTGTAAAGAATTTCATAACCCAGTTATGAAAGAATCAGAAAAATACAACAGAAGATACTTAAAAGTAATTGAAGATACTTTTCATAATATGACATTACACTGTGGTTATAATTGTAAATGTACAAAAGATGAAATGTCTTGTAGTTACACTTTATCTTTTGGTGATTAGCTAATCACTGGCATAAGTGTTGAATATATAGCCAAAAGGGCTTGATACATTATTGAGGCAAATTGCAGTGCATTTGATGCAAAACTGATAAATTTTCACATTTCAACAATATAGAATATAGAATGTAATAATAAGGTGAAACAATATAGAATATAGAATGTAATAATCAGGTGAAACAATTAAAATAATCATTTAATAAAAGCAAAAATATAGTATAGGAAATATATTATTCATATGTAATATTTATGGAAAATGAAAAGTAATAAATAATAAATATTTCTGTTGTAAAATTTGATTTATTATTGAGCTACAAATGAATAATCTAAATCTAAACTATAGATGAAATGAATGAAATAAATGAACTTTTTGAGATGAAAAGTAATTATATTAAATCATTATTAAATTCAAAGGCATATATATAAAGATATTACCAATGTAAAGTATTAAAGAGCTACATTAAGTCTGACTTTTTTAATTTATAAAAATTTTTAATTGTGATGAAAATTCATATTCTAATATTTTCCTTTAATATTATTACTATTATTATCAATGTAATCATCTCTTTCTAAATTATTATTAGTTTAGAAACTCATAAGTATTGGTAAAATATAGATTTTTTGCTTCAGAATTGATAAATATTAATAAAACCTAAAAAAAATTAATTTGTTTTATTATATTTACATTTGTTTATATTTATTAATTTGTGAATGAAATATAAAAATATTTTTTCATAGAAACTGTCGCAATTTATGGACTACAGCTGATATATAAATGATTATATTACCATTTAATAGAATAAAAGATGATAAGCATGGAAAAAACAGAATTTAGAATCAAGTATTTCTCTTACAAATAATTCATTAAGTTTATAATTATACTTAAAATTTTCAGTATTTTTTTAAAATAACTTTTGTAAGTAAATTGAAAAAAAATTGAAAAAGTCAGTAAATAACTGATAAAAATGTACATTATTTGCAACAACAAAATGTTAAATAATTTCAAATTTGAAAATGTTTACTTCATTAAAACTTATTTAGTGTGAAAAATCAATAGAATTTTTCTTATTAATCAATTAAAATATATTATGAGCTACTTCAAGATAATAAATATTAAAATAATAAATGAAGACTAAGTGAAAAATGCATACAATATTAATATTACATATGAAATTCATATAAACGTTATGTAAACATTTTGAACAGAAGAAAAATATCTAAATTTTGATCATATGATTCTATTAATGCTATGAATAATGTGACCATAATGTTTCATGGTTTTTTCACCAGAAAATGGTTGTTTTTATAATTTCTTTTTCACATCTATTTGTTATGGATAAATTATCATTTTATGAGTTTCACTATTTTCATATTTATATACTATGTTATAACTGATATCCAGTATAAAATAATTTGCAACTAAAAGAATTCTTATTCAATGCTCTGAATAAGAATGAAGTTGCTTTGGAAGACAGAATCATTCAAAGTATCAATAGACTATTCAGAAACATTTTACTATTAATCAGAATGCTTTTAATTGCTAGTTAAAGGAATTTTCTTAAAGAAGTTGTTGATGATAATTTTTATTTTTCACATTATCTAAATTGATAATGTAGTAATCTGGCCAAATGGAAATTAATATTGTAGAATTGATTACCATTACAACTATAACTATTGCTTTCATATGGTATTGAAAATGAAAATACCAAATAAAACTGAATTAAAAATAGTAATCACTGACTAATTGCTTGAATCATTGGTTATCTTATAAACTGTTAACTATTTGTTAAATTAATTACAGATCATTTTTCATATTTTAATAGTGTCTAATTTTCCTGCAAAAATTCTGCAATGAATGTTAAGAATGAAACTTTTTAACTATTTATTGATTAATTTTAAATATTAATTGATGGACTATCTGAAGTTTCAAAATACATTTATTATATATATCAAAAAGATTATTCCTAACATATAAGCAGTTATGTTTTCAGACTCAAAATAATAATTTTTGAATTCTTCAATCCTCAACAAGATACTTAAGATTTATTCTTTAAACATGATGAAAATTAATCTATCATCATAATTTTTATTAATAATATTGAACAATTTAATTAATTATTACATTATCATCCTTGAAATGAACACAATAATGGTCTTAGAAAAAATCTTCATATTTTAATATAAGTAATGAATGATATTCTATTAGAGTTTGTGAAAAATATCTCTTCTTAATCAATATAATATACATAAAAGAAATTAAGAAAATTTTGAAAAATATTTTACTTTTGAAATGCAAAAGAAAACATTTAAAGAATCAAATAAAATTTATTTTTATTAATCATAACAGCAGCTGTGCAAATTACATATTATTGTTTATAATACAGAATCAAATATCTTATCATAGTGTATTAGGTTTTCTTTGAAGTTTTTGAAAAATATTCAGAACAAATTCAATAAACGAGAGTAAATGGATTTTTTGGTAAATTGATATGTAGGAGTATATTACTTTCATTCCAACTTCAATTATCAGTAAAACTGGTATAAAAATTTGATTACAGAATTCTGAAAGTTAGATATCATTGTAATAATAAATTTCTTTTGGAAATAAAAGTTTTAGCTAAAAGAAAGAGTAAATGATGATTCAGTTTCAACACTTTTGTTATAAAGTTAAGATAATATTATATTAAGTTTTATTAAAACTTTCATCTTCTAGTAAGTGTCTTAATGTTTAAAAGAAATCCAATATATTAAATTGATATTGACAGAAAGTTATTGTTGTTATATTTTATTAAATGATGTCAAAATGCCATCTTACAAGTGATCAGTATTGTCTAATGTGGTAATAATAAATTTTATGCAAATTTTTATAGATATTGAAATATAAACAAAACAATAAAAATGACTTATGTAATGTAGTACAAGAAGTTGATTGCAGTACATTTTCTTATATAATTTTGAAAAATAACTGCTGCAAAATAAATAAATTGAAACTAAATAAAATCTTTATGTGTAGTCTTTATATAGGCTACACTAAGTTATTACTGTACAATGAAATATAATCAGTTTATATTCAGTCATTTTTAGAAATATATATTATTTAAAAGTAATAAAATCACTTGAATAAATTAAAGTTGTGATATTTCCATCTATTTAATAATAAGGAACAACTGATAAAAGTATCTAATTTTAAATTTCATTTCTATAAAATTGAAATGTAAATATTTTAAGATTTAGAATTATAAAATGGCATGGATTAAAACAAGAAATGGATTTTAAAAGTCAATCCTACTTTCAATAATGAATTCTAACAGCATTTTGATATGTATTAAATGAACTATATAATCTTTTGAGAAAAAATGCTTGTTTACCAATATCTCCAAAAAAATCAATTAGAATTTGGCTGAAACTCTTCTAGGCTTATAATAAAAAAATTTGGAATTTAAGAAATACTTCTGAAATTGTATTTGAATATTTGAAAAACAAGTTATTTAAATACATGAATAATTTGCAAGTTAGTGATGAAAATGAATTTTCTATTGGCAAATAAGAACAGATTAAATTCCATTTGAAATGTAATTGATAATTTATAATTTAGTAATAAAAATGATTTTATATCTTTTTATACAAATAAAATTATTAGGATTTATTTTAAAAATTATCTGTTTTTTTATAATAAGTAATCTGCTTATAAAAAATAAAATTATAAATAATATATTATTTTTATTTAAATAAAAATGAAATCAAATTTTATCAATCAAGTATCATTTTCACAAATTTCTGTATACAGATATATTGTTTATTATGTAAATAAATATATGTTTCAGCATATTAAACTTACATTAAGTCTTTTATTAATCTTATATTATTTGAAAAAATCATTATTTTTATATTCTTTCAATCATTTCAACTTACTTAAATACCATATTATTTCATTTCATGTTATAAGTTTTAAACTAAAATATTTTCTTTAATCACTAACTAACTAATGTGCTGTTAATTAAAAATCTTTTCTCTGATATTCCAAAGTCTTTCAGAAAGTGGTTGAATATATTTTATATTTGTAACCAGTCTTTTACATATAATTTATTATTAATATTTTTAATGGTCAACTCTGTTACAGAAATGAAAGGTTGGGGAAGATATTTTTTATTTAAAAAATTTGGTTATAAAGACAAATTCTAAATTATTTTTCCTGTCAGTAGAATACTAGCATTCTTTTCTTTCCCCCATCAGTTTACAAAGCCTTTTCTAGGCTTGAATGAGAATGCCTCAGCGAATCATCTCTAGAACAGTCAGCTTCACTGTGTAGAACATCGTCATCTCTTGGTAGCAGGCTCACAATACATTATCTCATGGGGAATCAGATGACCCGATAGTTGGAGTTACCTGGTTGCAGCAAAAAATAGTTCTCTGCAGATCATGCATTGCACCACTCATTTCAAATTTAGCTTAAATTTCAATTTTCTTCATTTTCTTATGGCTTTAATGATTTGATTTTTTTTTAAATGGTAATATATGCTCTAACAATTGAAAAAATATTCTGTTTATTGTAACTTATTCTTGAAAATATATGCTTTAAGTGCCCCACTTGGTGGTAAAATGCATATGCGCTAGGTAAAAGCAATATCTACTTTTTCACTTGGGAAATGGCCAGAAGCTGTGATTTTAATGGCAATTGTTTTCCTCAGTCCTTGCAGCACACCTATATAAAATTGTTGCTACTTATCACCAGCATTTCTGCAAAGACCAGTTGTATTTTATGTAATGAAGAGATTTTTACAGAAGGAAAGAAAGAAGTGTTATGGAGAGATGGAATGAAAAGATTCAACAGTAAATGTATTTGATAACTTAGAAGATCATTTCAGTGGAGTAATTGGAGAGAAGAATTTTGTTTAAAAGAAGGTATCTGCAAGGGCTAGGAAACATGGCTATCCCCCAAGTGAAGATCTCTATCAAGCAAAACATCTTCATCAAGTCATTTTTAAATGGATACATTCAAGTCTTCAAGCTTTTCCAATCAAGTTCATCTATTTGAAGAAAGAAGTGTATCCCAGCCATCAACAGTTGTAAAGCGGTTGTTTAGTCATTTGGCAGAGTGACTTAACATACTACATGATGTGAGAACGTCAACCTTAGTTAGGCAGCCCAGCACCTCTTTAAAAGTATTTTCCATTTACCTGATTTAGAAGAAACCAAGTGGCAATTAGTTTCTCCTCGACTAAATACAGTGTTAGGAAATAATGTTAATTAGAAAATGCAACTTGTCAAGCACACTTCAGTTGGCTGACAACATAGCATTGCAAGATGAAATCCCCCGAAGTGAGCCACATCCAGGCTGACGTGTTTGATCGCTGCAGGCGAAATCTCGTTGATGTTCTATTCCTAGATTCTATTATCTTCTGAAAAGCTGCTTGCTTCAAATCTATCCTCTCCATTCAACATTAGCTGGCCTGTCTGATAATGGATAAGATGCTTCTTGAAAGAAGAAAACAGAAGGTCAACTTTAGAATGTCCAAGTGGTTCCTGTAACATCATATAACATACAAGGTAATGTTCATACGGCCCAATTGTTTTAATTTGTTTCCTAATCTTGTTCTGTACAGGTAATTATCACATTTTGATCATAAGTCACCTTGTAAAATCCACAGACATATAAATTTTTTAAATTCAGTGAAGCATCTCAAAACTAATTTTGGTGATACAACAAAAATTATTGTTAATATAGATTATTTTTAAATATATTTTAAAGCAATATTAATGAAAGCACATATATTTAATATTAAATTTTTTCCATATTACCAACATGCTCTGCTTCTTTTTTTGCTGTCTTAATCTTTGTATTCTGCTCAAATCTATCTTCTGATGCTGAATTTGCTTAAAAATCTTCTTAATCAATTAGTGGAAAGAAATATGTTTTTTAAAGAAAAAATCAAGTTAATTTTTACATATATTGCATCATCAGGGAATATGGGGCTTTGTTGTTTAATTCAGATGGTTAAATTTATTGAGTTATGAATATGTGAAAAAATGAAATTTGCATATTCACTTGTGGATTTCAAGAATAATTTCATCATAATTTTGGAAAAACTTTCAACATTATGTAAATGATTTGGTGAGATGCATTCAATAATGCTGTTTTCAAGACTAAAGAATATTGTGAAAATGACAGATAAGGATCAGAATGTTGTTTTAAATAATGAAGTATCCAGTAATTAATAATGAAAGATACAAAGAAAAATATGTATGCATATCAATTTATGGAATATGTATTGAAGAATGTGAAAATTATAAATTTTTATCAGAAAAGTGAATATATTTGACAATGTAATTTTTACTCTTCTAATATAAACAAGCCATCTCAATGAAGTTATTCAATGGTTTTGGCAGATGAAATTTTTTATTAGAAATTAACAAGCATTCAAGTGTTTTTCAAAATATATATTTGCACACATTAAAAATATAAAGATAAGAAGAAATATTAATATATTAGATGAATATAAAGAAAAATAAAGTAATTACAAACAAGAAAGCATTTATGAATAATGAAGATGATGATGGTAAAGAAAGAATAAGTTTATTAAATGAAGACTGAAATAGTTGAATTAGAAGGTGGAAAAATGAATATTTTTTATAAAAACTGATATTAACAATTACTGAAGATTTACTGATTGAAGTTTGAAGATCATTTCTCTCAGAAAATTGATAAACTTTAAAGAATAAAGGATTGAAAGTACTGTTCACTAAACTCTTATTGCTGGTAAAAAGGTTTAATTTTTATCACAACTTAGTAACCAGTTTGTTTGCTATACATTGCTGTTTAAAGAATAAAGTTGAAAGGAAGAAAAATACAAGATTTGATACTGATAAAGATTTTATCATCACAGTCATTTCTCTTCTGGAAGATTTATCTTCAGTTATTAATTTCAAAAATACTTTTATTTTAATATGTATTCGGTTACAATTATTAAATATTTTGTATTTCATCAATTCATGTTATTACTGATAATTTTATGAAATAAGTTTTGGAACAATTTAATAATGAAAATGTAATATTCAACATTAGATTTTGTATAATTATTAAATTTATGGCTATTTTTAAACTCTGTGTAAAACGAAAAGTTAAAATATCAAAAGCCATTTATTACTCCATTCATCAGAATTTAATTTTAATTCAATCAAATAAAAGCACAGTATATAAAAATGTTTTGTGTAGTATTTTTAATTTAATCTGCAAAACTAAATGTCTTAAAAATATTTATGTTCAAGTACTGTGCTGTTTATTAATTTATGTATGCATGTTGTTTATAGTTTGTTATAGTTTGTGAAAATTAAACATTAGAAATGTTTAAAAAATGGAAGTTGTTATTTCAAAAAGAAAATATGATTATAAGAATTTGTAAACATTTTTATAATATGAAATCAAAAGTATCCAAAGTTATATCTTAGNTATGTATGCATGTTGTTTATAGTTTGTTATAGTTTGTGAAAATTAAACATTAGAAATGTTTAAAAAATGGAAGTTGTTATTTCAAAAAGAAAATATGATTATAAGAATTTGTAAACATTTTTATAATATGAAATCAAATTTTATCAATCAAGTATCATTTTCACAAATTTCTGTATACAGATATATTGTTTATTATGTAAATAAATATATGTTTCAGCATATTAAACTTACATTAAGTCTTTTATTAATCTTATATTATTTGAAAAAATCATTATTTTTATATTCTTTCAATCATTTCAACTTACTTAAATACCATATTATTTCATTTCATGTTATAAGTTTTAAACTAAAATATTTTCTTTAATCACTAACTAACTAATGTGCTGTTAATTAAAAATCTTTTCTCTGATATTCCAAAGTCTTTCAGAAAGTGGTTGAATATATTTTATATTTGTAACCAGTCTTTTACATATAATTTATTATTAATATTTTTAATGGTCAACTCTGTTACAGAAATGAAAGGTTGGGGAAGATATTTTTTATTTAAAAAATGGCCTTAAAATGAAGACTTCTCACATTAATTCTATCAATTATAGCTGGACTTGGCAATAAATAAAAAAAATGTTAATGGTTGAAGAGAGCAGTGGTGGGGGGAGGTGGGTTAAGTAGTTTTAGCATTAGGACTAAGGTTGCATGATTGTGTAGAAACAGGTTAAAAGTTGATAGTGAGGTTGAGCTTGTTTTGACAAGCTAAATAAGTTCAGTATCTCGCTGGCCATCTAATGCCACACTCAGTTTATATTCAGCATTCAAACACTACTATGCTTGTATTTTTATTTCTGGAATATGGCTCGCAGAGGTTGTGTAATTTCTCTCGACAGCTTCTGTATGTTTGTGGTAAATACACAGTGAAAAGTTAATATCCTCTTTATCTGATCCCTTCTTTTTGGAAACAATGGGAGAAAAGGAAAAAAGCATGGGCCTCTTTTAAGAATGCAGTGCATAAGTTTTTGGGGAATAGTAAGGACCCTGACTACAAAACCATCGTACAATTCATGTTGGCAGTGTATGAAGCTTCAAGGATGCAAGATGAGCTTAAAAGTTCATTTCTTACACTCCTGTATTGACTATTTTCCTGAAAACTTGGGAGCCTACAGTGAAGAACTCTCAATATCACGGACATCCTGGTGAAAGATTTCACCAGGATGTCCGTGATATTGAGAGATGTTACCAAGGAAAATGGGATGTCGATATGTTAGCTGACTACTGTTGGATGCTCAGTCAAGAAACCAGAGAAGGAAATTGGAAACGAGTTCAGAGAAGCATCAAAGAGAAGAAGAAAAGGTGTCATAAGAAAATATATTTAGTTCATTGTAATAAATAAGCGTTTTTATCAAATATTTGTTTTTATTTTGCAAAAAACCTATACGTGATGGGATGTTACGGAAGTCATTTTTAGAATCTCCAATCTTTAAAACATATAATTCAGCAAAAATATCCCATGCAGCTGGAAAAAAAATTTTTTTTGCAGACCTGTGTAATTTAGTCAAACTGAAATATATTCAAAGTTTTAGAGTTTTTTTGCACATCTAGAGGTCAAGGTTTAATTTAAAACCTTATTTGCTAAGTTTGATCAATTGGATATGGAAGGTAGCTATAATTAGTAATTTATAGACTGCATACAGGTGATTTCTCCTATAGCTCTTACCTATCTCTGAATTCAAATTTGTTGAAATTGGATTGTGCTAATGACATGATCTTTATGTACCTTACTGTATGCATTTTCAAATATTTTTGGGGGAGTTTTTGTAATTTATTTTCTCTTTCATATTTCAATCTCATTAAAATAAAGTTTTTATCTTTCTTTATTTATTGTTGANAGAACCCTTGTCAAACAGTGTATTTAGTGTATCATATATTTTATGCTTTAGTTCTTTCACAATGAGAGAAATTTGAGTTCAAATTTATTTTCATAGTAATTATATTATATTACCTCACTGTTTACACAATGGTACTACTTTCTGACTTCCTCTACAGGTCTGACTTATGCCTTATACATATATATTTCTATATAAACTTATTAGCCGGGTGAAATTTCTTATAATGAATTTGTTTGAATATGGTAATTATGATAAAAATTATGAAAGATAAATTGTTAAATGATTATTTTGCAGAAGCTAATGGGAACAAAGAGGCAATGGAAGAGAATAAAGAGATGTCAGCAATTGCAGATGATGATGAAGAAGTAAGAAAATATTTTTTAATACTTTTTACTTTATAAATTTATTGTCATTCTCACTTTAAATAGTGTTTTGGTATATTTAAGATTTTCTTTTTTCTCCTCTGTCTACAATGATTCCGTACATTTTAAATGACAGCACGAAATCATTTTGGTTATAAATTATATGTTCAAAATTAAAAAAAATAATGCATGTAATCAAACTGTAAATATTCAAATATTACTTTAAGAATGGGCAAAGTTATGAAAAGACTAATTAAGATATTTAATTATTGAAGGACTTTGAATTAATTCATTGAATTTGATTAATGTACACTTGTAAATGTTAAGCATTTGAAATCATTTCTCATATTTAACCGTTTTTGATAAAATTTACAGAAGACCACTCGTGTCCTCCTAATTGGAAATTTTTTAACCTTTCTAAAAGATTTAAATATGTCATTTTTCATTATTTCCGATTATTTATTGTAATTAGGCTTGCATTACTTTCGCAGTATTAATTTTAAACCAACATTTTAACATAAACTATGGATAATATAATCTTCATATTTTACTGACGAAATATTTATATTATTATCAGAAAACACCCAAATGTATGGACGTATTTGTGAAATTTTTGCGAAGACTTCCAGTTACAATTTTGCAGGTAATATTTATTCTCAGGAATAACTATTATTACCAAGAACATACTACAGAATTTTAATAATGAAACTAATATATGTTGTTTCCTATTTTTTCAAGAAATTAAAGAATGAAATACTTTTCAAATTTTACAAATACTTTATAACTATTCAAAGTGTAATTATATGTATGTAAATTGAAGATAAATTATATCAACAAAATTAAATAAGAAAGGAAAAAAATCAAACATCACATAAGCATTAATTCTATTTTCTACATATATTTTGTCATGAGAGATGAAATTATATGATTACTAATAAATGTTAAGCATCTGTCATTAGTTGCTCTATGAAAATGACTGTTTATACTGATCGAATGGATAGATCCAAATCAAAATAGAATTATTTTTAAAAATCAGAGATCATTAATATGTATTAAAGAAATTTATATTGNATTGCGTATTGGTTCGATTATAGAACGATTGTAAACGTTTCAGAAAATTGATCAAATTGAAAATAGTTCGTTTGATTTTCGGCAATTCTCTTCAGCGGTAGGTGTTATATAACAATTACTATGGTTATTGAAATATTGGATGTAAATGGGGTTTGCTTGCAAAACCTCCGCTGACGAAGTCGCGGGTAACAGCTAGTGTTGTCACATAAGAATAAAATAAAACTAAAACTAACCACTTTTTATTTTGTCCTCTCAAGATGAAGGTACACTTGTGATCTGTACTGTCTGTCACACATACCCCAAAATTATATAATGACATATCCTCAATAATCCCCTCAGTTGTACTAAGGACAGCACATGGTATTGAACACTACATTATTTTATTAATTACATGTATAATGTACAAAATAGTTACATAAACAGTATGGTTTTCCATGCAACACTTCAGAAACACGAAAATGAATTATTCTGTCACCCAAGGTTTGAGATCCATCATTATGTAACATTTTTTTAAAGATCTCCATCTCTTGTAACACATCATAATGATTATCTGCATACTCACCCACTCATATCTGCATTATGTAATTTATGGACAGCCTCTAATATATAATTTTTTTCATATGTATGTTGATAAAATTGTTCATCATGATTCTGTAAGAAATTTTCTGACTATCTATTTATTAGAAAACTAGCAGGTGGGCCCGGCGTTGCTCGGGCAAAAGTAACGATAGCGAAGATTAAGATTCTTACGTTGTAGTCAACCTTACCTGTTTTCACAGAATGCAAAAATTGGATCCCCCGTTTCCAGACTAATTAGAAAATTTTTACATGGGTCTAAAAATATCTTCAATTTCCTGCAAAAACAAAAACCAACTTCACTTTCTCTTAAAATGTCGCTTTCTCTTAACAATTCCATTGTTATGTAACACATCCATTGTTACGTAACACTTCCATTGTTGATACTTCCATTGTTGACACTTTCATTGTTACTTAACACTTCTATTGTTGATGGAAGTGTTAAGCTTAATCCTGTCCCTCTCCCCCCAGGGGGGGTATTTCGAAAAATCCCTTCTTAGTGTGCGTTTTTGTGATGTACCCTAACTGTGTACCAAATTTCAGCTTCCAACTCCTAACTGTTTGGGCATCATTATTATTATCATCAACCCGTCTCGATTATATTATAGATTGATCAATAGCACAAAATCTCAACAAAAACCATAATGTAAAGAGCCAGTATGATCTGGGCGGTGATGTACTGTACCTTACCATAAACTCTGATAAATCTTCTTTAGATTAGTGCTATCTCTGTTGCACTGATGCTCTAAAAAACAGCTACCATTATGGTCCTTATTTAAACAGCCTGCTGTACTATCCATTGCTCTGTTATCAAGAGTTCCAGTAATATAAAACATTGAAGAAAATCAGAAACATGGAAGAGTGCTCTCTTAAATGAGCTGCTCCCTTATCTAATGGTCTATTAACTGGACTCAACTGTATTTATATTTGAAGAGGAGCATATGGTCAACAGAAATATACTATGATGTGATGTAGAAGATATTTTAGTGAAATTTTTTATTTTCATACATTTTTAAAATATATAAATGATAGA